CATTCCGCAAAACTATAGCATTTAGTAAGATTAATTACATGCAATATTGATTATTAATGGTATTTTTCTAATGCATATGTTACTAGGGTCCTTGTAACCCCATTGATAATTCTAAAGTTAATTAACATTATAAAAAAAAACATTCTATTTATGATAAATCACGTATAATATTAGGGCAAAAAAAGAACAAACACATATTTAGATGTTGATCAATGGTAAAAACAAATTATGTCATGGGTTTATCTGAAAAGGAAGTGCAAATAAACCATCTATATCAAAGTGTTTTTAATTTAAAGTAAAAAGTTTATTTACATTTTTTCAAGCTGAAAGTTATTGCATTTTGAATTCTAAGTAAATCTAAAATAATTTCCCATACTGTTTGTAAAATATCAAACTTTTTAACAATCAACTGTAAGACCAGAGATATATTTTCTTTAAAAACTGACTGACTAAATATTAAAGAATAGTGAAAAAAAAACAGAATGATGAACTGCAAGCACTGTGTAGTAATTAGTGAGTTAAAGGTAAAAAGAAAAATATTATAACACTTTCATACTTCTTAAGAATTAAAAAACAATCATAACTAAAAAATTAAGATGGTTTTATTTTAGCAGACTAAACTACAGACTACAGTATTTACCTGATTATCAATAATTGCAATTACAATGTTTTTTTTTATATAGTTAACATAGTCATCACTAAATAAATAATGAAGAATTTCATTGTTTCATGATACTTTTTTTTGTAGCAGCAAATACAAATTTTTAACATTTCCTGTTAGAACTAATGGCCATGGTTAAACAATTACATGATCATGTGTGTATCAAACAGCTTATCTTCATTAAAGTGAAGCTTAAATCGAAAATTATAATTAGTAACATCCAAGTTATAAATGTCAAATGAATGAAATGAGGTTAAAAGAGAGAGCCCTAGAGGTACAAAATAATAAAATGTAGTGACTTACAGTGTACAATCCAGTGGACTGCTGGTGAAGAAAATTGATCCCAGAACAGAATAAAAAGCAGTTGAAATGTCACAGGTAGTACACGGAACCAACATGAAAACTTCAGAACCTTGGATATAAATCTAGAATTGAATTTTTATTAGCATACATCATACTGAATGAAAAAAACGTAAACATACCAAGCAAGGTAAATTAACCTTCTCCTATACATAGCTTATCCCAAATAATCTACAACCCAGCTGTTTGGACAAATACTTTATTAACTGATGCACTATGATATTTAAAACTTGATTTATCTACAAAACTGTTTATTGTAGCAAACATCATTACCCTGATTATGAATCAAATCTTTTTTTTTGACTTATGTTAATTAGTATCAGGAAACAATAAACCACCAAATTCCTAAAAACTGATAATAAATTGAGCATTTTTAGTTATTTCATTCTTCACAACTCTGGTTCAGTATGTCTGTTTGTTGTTAAGCATAATGCTACACAGTGCCCACCACAGGTATTGAAACCCAGTTTTTAGCATGATAAGCCTTCAGGCATATCGCTGAGCCACTGGGGGGTGTTCAGTTTGATAACCAATTTTAAGTAATGCAATCCATAAATAAGAGTACTGTTGCAAACTAGTTCACAGCAGCATTAAGAAAAGATGCTTTCCGACAATATATTTAATGAAGAACAGAAAATGTACTCTTAAAAGAAATAAGTGTTCAAAACAAGAATAATTTCCTCTTGTATTATTCTCTTGTCATCCCGATGTTAAGAATGTCTCAATTTAATTGTTAGTACTGACTTCTAAGCATTTTGTTAAACAAAAACATGATTTTTACTTCCCTCATAAATTGCTTTCAAGCCTAATCTGTTATTACTGTTTAACATTTGATATAAACAGTCTTTTATATACATTTAAGTTTGATATATCCCTGAATAACCTGAACATTAGGATTTATTATTTTATTGAAAACCACACCTTTTCTCAGATAGCAGAATGCCGCCTAAGGCTGACCCAGCCAGTGAACCAATCTGTCCAAACATGCCATTCCACAATCCAACAGTTCTGGTAGGAACACCTTCATCCACCAGAAACAGAGGAAATGATGACAGAGCTCCTCTCTCACCTGTAAAAACAATTAAACAAAGAATAAACTCAATTGTCACTTCAGCAGCTTTAAAACAATAAATTTTCTGTTCACATAGTAAACCAGAAACAAAGTAATATAGGAAATACTGTGGCTAAATATGTATCTAATACTTTTAATGAATACTTTGGCTAACTCTACATATATGTGTATTTCATACTATTAGAAAGTACTGTACCTAATTACAAGCTTCACTAAGAATATTGTAGTCAAGATTATGTCATATTATTTAGGTAGTACTGTGAAAAAGTATATATTACACTGTTTTGAAAAAGACTGTGATATTACATGCTAAATATCTAAATGTATCACAGTTTTGTAAGATTGTTTTAGCACAGAGCTACACAATTGGCACTCAATCTCTTTCATTTTTGGTAAATCAACATTCCGTGGAAAGGCTTCAGAAGCTATCAGCCAATGTTTTAATTTTTTATTGCAATTTGCTTAAACTGAAAATACTATTAACAAACAATCTTTATTATGTATCATAAAGCATTGTTTCCAATTATTGTTATATGTTTTAGTATTTCATATTTGCTGTATTGAATACAATTTCACTTCCTTAACTGTGTCTGTATGAAAATGTTAGTGAATGGAAAAAGCATTAACTTTTGAGTAAAAGAAAAAAAAAAGAATATGTAGTAATATGTCAACCACATTAAATCTGCCATATGTAGTGTCAATGAGATTTTTCTCCCAATATTACGACTGATCAGGCTGTTGGGATATGACAAGATATAGTAGTTATGATGCTAAAAATACAGCAGTTATATTAATATTCAGACAAACATATTTATTAAATTACAGTGATTTTATTGAGTAATTATAATATTAACTTGAATAATACAAAAAATATCTACATTATAAAACACAGAACAATTTTCATTATTCTAATTTATATTTATGTTGTATTTTCAGATTAAAACTGATTTCCTTACAAGTATCATATAGCTAGACTCACTAATAACAGTAGATTAACTCATGAATTACCTCAGTTCGAATTTCATAATTTTACAAAACTATTCTACAATACAGTTACTATTTTCCTATTTTATATCCATTCCAACTTACAAGTGCCATTTCACATTACATTTCAGTCAATATTAATTATAACAATTGTTATAATTTTCCACATACATGTAGAACATAAAAACAATAACACATACACACACACACACTACATACTGTGCAGGGTTTCTAAATATATCAGTTACACTGAATGGATTGTACTTGAGTCTTGAACTTTTAATATTGAGTACATATGTAGGTGTTACATGTAAATGTATAAATAATCTTGTAAATCTGTATGAGGAGAAGTTAAACACATTAACTTCAAAATTACCACTACCCAAGACTGAATAACTGACAATAAAAAGTTTTGTTTCTTATATAATTTCTATGTTTTACAAATGTAAGACTGTTTTTTGTGATATTATTACGAAAGAAACAAATTCCAGCTTTTTCGTCTTCTCCAGTCACACTTGGACAGTTGTAATATCATAAAATAACAATATCTTACAAAACTTTAGTATTTATCAAGATATGATGATTATTTTTCATAAAACTATCAAAAATGAGAGTGAAAAAACAGTTAGTACTTTACTTGGGATTAATATTTTTATCCAAGTTAACTTACCAAGTTTGTAAAATATCACAAAAACAGCTACATTCCAAGTATGTGGAGTCCTGAAGGCTTCCCTAAATACTACTTTCCAGTTTAATTGTTGATCATTTTTGTGAGACACTTGAATATTTTCGTTTAATTCTACATCCTCATTTTGTATATAAAGTCTTTCAGTATTAATACTTTTTTTTGTAATATGTTTCAAGCCTTGTTTTTCCATTAGTATGCAGAAGGCTAGAAGTGTTAAACAGTACATTATTCCAAGTAAGCCAAATGCTCCCTGTAATCCCCAATAAATCTGGACCCAGAAAAGAACCCCTCCTCCAAAAAAGGCTCCCAGCTTGTAGCCAATAATTTGAGCTGAGTTTCCTTGCCCAATATCCTTGTCTGTCAGCATTTGAAGAGCCAAACCATCCACAGCAACATCTTGGGTGGCAGAGAAAAAGTTAAAAAAGAATAATATAACACTGAAGCTTAAAAAGCTTTCTTCAAATTCTTGTGAAATAAAAGAACTCAGAAATGATAATGCCATGAGACAAATCAAACTGGTGTAAGTCCAGAATGACTTAGTTTGAAATAAGTCCATTGCTGGAGCCAAAAGTGCTTTTAGAAGCCATGGAAGCAGCAAGAGTTTCATCAAGGTAAGGTTAGTGTAGGATAGTCCTCTGGAACGTAGATATATTGGCAAAAACTTGTCCTGAAATCCATATGGTAACCCTTGTACATAGTACAACACCCCTAAAAGTAGTATCTTTATAACTGTCATTCCAGGTAATACTACATGAGCTTAACAAAATTCCTAGAAAATAAAGAGAGAAAAAAACAAAACATCTAAGCATACTTATAATAATATAAACAATAAGATTACATTGAACCACAAGAAATATTACCTACATATATGTTTATATATTGCAGAAATGATATTTTAAAATCCAAATATTTTCCCAAGAGTGAAAGTGCAAGTACAGTTTTGAAAGGCCAAATAGTCTCTTTTTGCCAATGTACATACTGTTAGTGTTATTAAAACTCTTCTCTAATTTTACCAAGCACTAATACAAATCTGATCTACAATTAAATTTTATCTTTTCAGCAAGAAAATATTTTACACAGCAGTTTATTTACTAATGAATTCCCATACATATATATCTATATATTATATATACACGTTGTATGTGATTACGTAATAATGCATACTTCACACACGACACGTCATTTTATTAATTGCATACCTTCCAGTATTACTAATGTATATAGTTTCCGTTAAACGTTTCTGTTCATGTTGTAATTCTGTAATAAAATTAAAAGTATTTACACTGAAAAATATCTAAAATGACTAATTTCTTAACTCGAAGTATCCCGGACTTGTTTCACAAACGGCTTAGTCATCATAACATAACTGAATTGCGAAAACTCGTGCCCAGTGTCTCATACCTGTGTATATCACTGTAGAAGACCGACGTACAAAAACCTTGAGAAAACGAACTAGCGTTCCATATTTGTATTAGTAGTGAATTAAACTATACATCATTTCTCTTAATTTTCCAGGCGTACCATAGACCTAACACAAAATAACTTTTAACTTATATTTTTAATATTTTCTTTACAAAAAATTTAAACAGGACGAGTGCAACTACACAGTGTATATATATATATATAATATGGACATATCGTTTGACCAGTACCTTGTTCACAGTCATAACCACACGTTATGAACCCCTTATCCTGACAGTTTTGAAGTCAGTCGATAATTGCGTTTGAATGTGAACTTTCATTTTCAGTATTAAAGGTCAAGTTTTAGCCAGATTAGTCTATCTTCCAGTTTCATTGACTAGCCTAGTGGTGCACAACCTAGGGTCCGCAAAAGTAATAATGGGGTTCGTGAACTATTTTCTTTAATTAATTGAATAGTATCAATAAAACAACAACAACCATCTCATTAAACAAGTAATTTGTTAATACTGCTGTTCATTTATGGGCCAGGCTTTCTTAGATGTCCATTTTTCAACTGGAAAATGTTGAAAAAACATCTTCTCCTATAAGTATGATTTATACAGTTCTTGAAAATAAAACTACTGAAAAACCTTGTGCCAAAAATCTAGCACTCGGGCTATATTCTGTCATATTTTCCCACCTTGATGAAGATGACTACAGTTTTTCACATGTGTTCTCCTTCACCAGATTATATTACTGCTTTTTTTTTTCTGTGATAATATTTCAACTATCGACTTCATTTACCATTCATTCTAAAAATACAGGTCCGGCATGGCCAGGCGGTTAGAGCACTCGACTCGCAATCTGAGGGTCGCGGGTTCGAATACCCGACCCACCAAACATGCTCGCCCTTTCAGCCGTGGGGGCATTATAAAGTGACGGTTAATCCTACTATTCGTTGGTAAAAGAGTAGCCCAAAAGTTGGCGGTGGGTGGTGATGACTAGCTCCTTCCCTCTAGTATTACACAGTTAAATTAGGAACGGCTAGCGCAGATAGCCCTCGTGTAGCTTTGCGCGAAATTCAAAAACAAACAATCTAAAAATACAAATATGAAACTCATCACTGAAATTCATACCACCTCTGTACATTAGCAAAGACAGGTGTAGAAATTAATGTGATCTCCTTTACTTTTCTACACTAAATCCAGCGACAGCAGGCTAATAGTAATAAGGATAGATCATAAACGTATGGTTTTATTATGATATGGTATTATACTGTTACGTCT